TATGTGTGTTAATACATGTCTGGAGAGGATCTTTAATTTTAAAGAGCTCCACTGTCATTAAGCTTGTTTCCAGCAGGCAGTTGTTTTCAGTGATAAAGCTCTGAAATACCCACTGTACACTACCAGCACCAAACAGCAGACACACAAAGCTAGCAACTAGCTGGTGAACATACTTAAGCTTTTAAAGAGCCACATATTGTCCTCAGTAGTTGGTGGAAACCAAACCAGAGATACAAGGAGAGTGAATATTGATAAATATTGAGTGCTAATGCTATATATGCTGGTTGTGTAAATACACAACTGCTAAGCTATACTTAGCTATAGCTTGTTAACAGAAATATTTATTTATTAATAAATTTTTTGTACGTTTCACTTAGCTGTCCTCTTGGAAGAATCCACTCTGAGTGAGCTGTTGGAGAAGAAGTGTCCACAGAGGACTGAGCCGTCGTTACGGCTCTGTGGCACTGAAGAGGGCATCGCTGAGCCTTCACCCTCACCTTCGCCTCGTCACCTGTCAGTAGACCACCAGCACCTACAGTGCCGTAAAGGCAGCCTTCTCCTCACCCCAGAGGCGAAGAGGAGGTTAGAGGAGCGACGAGGGTCGGAGCCGCTCCGCAGCACCCAGGATCTGGGACCTGACGGTGACTTGGAGGACCATTCCTTGGGGAATCATCACCACATGGAGGGCCATGGACACCACCTCCACCTGTCCAGCTGCCACGAATGTTTGGAGCTGGAGAACAGTACCATCCTGTCTGTCAAATATGCCTCAGCTGATAACATTCCAGACCTTCCTGATGATAACTCAGTGGGGCTGGACAGTGGGGATGAGACTCTGGACGAAGTTGAACACGATGCCAAAGGGGTTTTCGGATCTGACTGTAATAGCAAACCGCCAAATGTTCTGGTGTTCACAGGTGGTTGCCAGGAGCGTTTCCAGGCAGTCCATCAGCTTTTATCAGAGTGTATAAACATGGAGAACAACATAATATATCCCCTCCTACCACAGCAGGCTTTGAGCGATCCTTGGCTGGACAACACCAGGCTATTGGTCCTGGCAGAGGAGGAAACTCTGACCCCCCAGCTTCAGACCCGCTTTCTCACCTACCTGAACCAGGGTGGCAGGGTACTGGGGCTAGCCTCTACCCTGTGCCCTGCAGGCCTCTGTCTGGAAGTCAGGGAAAGGAGACGTGGGCAGATCAGCCGGCTGAGCTTCACCAGGGAGGACAGCACAGAACTGGAACTGAGCTTGTTGGCGAGTGGAAAAGTCTACATCAGGGACACTCAGGGAGGAGGGGAAGTTGAGCTCTGGGGGGAGCTGAAAGGGGACGTCCCTCATCAGAGGGACATGGTTATAGTCAGAGTAACCCATGGAGGGGATGGCGGGGAAGCTGTCCTCTGTCAGGTAGGGACATATGACTTTATATTATATATTATTAAGTGTTTTACATGGCTGAATATTGTTCAAGGTTTATGTGTGTGTATATATATATAATATATATATATATATATACGAATATTAGTGAAATAAAGGTCTGCATCAAACTCTTGTTTGTTTATTTTCCTGCAAAAATCGTATTCGTTCGTCTTAGTTTCACTGCATATTTTTCCCCTGGTCATCCACGCCCCCCCTGCAGTGGCTTCAGGACCTACTGGTGGGGGGACAGTTTGAGAACCAGTGCGGTACTGAGAATGTGCTAAAATGTTAGTGTGCAATAATGATAATGATGATGATGATTAAGCAGAAGACTAAAACAGCACTCCAATTGAACTTTTTTGTATTGCCACATGGACATTTTGGGCAAGACACCCTTCTTCAGCATGGCAATGTATTCTAGGGGAGTTCCTGCTATTGTGCATGCTGGTTCTCTGTGACTGATACTAGGACACATAATGGAACTGAGCTGTCGTTACTGTCATTAGGTTCGTCTGTGTTTTTCTTGCTGTGACCAAATGATTGATTGATTGATTGATTGATTGAATTGAAGTCCAAAGTACATCCCAACAGCGGGAACACCAGCCTTTCCAGGCACAGAGTCACATGATATAAAATACATGAAAAACCATCATCATTATTAGAATAATCTGTGTAGGAATTTTGACCGCACGTCTCAGCCTGTAGGGCGGTGCCTTGTATTCTTCCATATAATCGACAGAAAATCCGAAACCACCGGCAGTAACACGCCACAGCCCATGGTTTCTGATACAGGGAGTGCTGCTATGAAGCTTGTCACAACTTCCTCCAGTCCCACTCTGATGTTGCCAGACAGATTTATGAATGTCTGTCTGTTTTATTTCATTTTATTTTAATCATAATAAGGGAACAAATGGTGAAATAGTTTCTTACAATTCAATCTTAGTTCTGTTTTAATTAAAAGCATATGTATTGGCTGGAATACTGTGCAGACACTCTAGCCTGAAAAATATATGAGCTTGAAGTATTCAAGTGTAGCCCCATTTTAAAACGGGATAAATCTGACCGGTGCTGCAGACTGACTAATGTAAAAAATACGGAGTTAAAGAGGGAGGAGGAACGCTGTTTGACTCATCAGAAAATTGATTGTAGCTCTGGTTCAACCTGAGAGAAAGTTTAAGTTTATTGGAGGGCATACACATGATAGGTGTACTTTGGAATATATTGTGAGGATATGTCTAAATCACAAGTGCAGAATTGAAATGTTAAATGTATGTTAATACATAAAAGAAAATGCTTATTCTCGTTTGGGCCATCCCTGGCTGGACACTGTGTGTGCCCTGTCTGCAGGTCCACCTGGAAATTGCTCCTGACTCCCAGAATCTGACATCAGAAGCTTTCGATGAATTGAAGGTCAGCAATGCACTGCGCTTTGAAGTCTTGACAGAGATCCTCACCTCTCTGGGCCTCACTTGTGAGCTGAACCAGACCCCAGCCCCAAGCCCAGTCCACCTGCTGGCCACGTCTCAGGTAAGACTCAGTGCTCATTCGTCAGTCTGTGGGAAGGTCACAATGAAATAAGTAAGTGCTAGTCACAGTCTTGTCAGATGTGGTGATCTTGATCAGTCATGTACTAGAGTATCATGTGTAAATGTACACATTCCATGGTCAGATTAGTGTTTTAGAAGATCTGTCCTAAAATAAACGTGCTCCAGGAAGGGATGGAGAACGCGCACAAAGTGTTCTGAAATGAGAGAGGAATTTCTTCCAAAAGCCACCATAATATCCCGAAATTTTAGATGGCTACGACCAGATATGTGAGGGGGGTGTGATCCACCCCCTACTATTGAGGTCACTAATAGACAGACCATGGCCCGGGTCTAGACTCAGACACCGTCCTATTGGGACACAAACCTATAACCAATAAATTATAGGGAATTTTGAAGGAGTGTTTCTGTTGTTTAGACACTGGTTTAGAGGCCCGGGAAACTCACACAACAAATCCAATCAAATCGGTGTATTCCAATAAGCACTGTGACTCGAGTCAGTGAGTTAGAAATAAACACAGTAGTGAAAATCAAAGTGTTATCTTTACATTCACCCATCATCATCATCATCATCCATCATCTGACCACCATTCATCAATTCACTCATACACACACACAATGAGCACCAGATTGTTTTTATTAAGTTAATTGTGTGAGCGGCAAAACAGATATACTGCATACCACACATGTGGAAACAATCTGTCCTCCTAAACGTATGCAAATATATGAGCATATAAGAGCAGGCTTACTGCAGCTCTGTGTACAGAGGGCCAATACTAACATGTGAGGGCAGCAAAGCAGTCTTTGATCAGCCATCACAGTGACTGCTGCCTACTTTGGCTTCCATGTGGATTGATTTTTAGAAAACATTGAAGTTCACTTTATCTTGAGGATAGGACTATTGAATGCAGTCTAATTAATAAAAAGCTCAAAGAATATGTTGAACTGAATTCATATATATATATATATA